AGATATCACTCCATGCCCTGGCAGCACTGTTAATGGCATCTTTCAGATTCAATGACTTACACAAACAATGTCGTTCTCTTCTGTCAACAACAATTAGCAATGCTTTTCTGTAGCTCTTTTGGGAAGCCTGAAGAGCAGACAACCAGTAGCTACATAATGGAAGTTGCATTAGGAGGCAAGAATGTGGCAAAAATCTGGTTAACTGTTGTCGGCTGACCCTCTTGTGTGAAGAAGTGTTGTTTGGCAGCAAAATCACCTTTTCTTTCGGTTCTAAAAATGGCCATGAACAGCTGGTATAAACTGTGTGCAGAATGGATTCTGGTGGGCTTAGGGGCTTGGTAATGGGATAAGAGACCTTTCACCTTTAGGTCAGTAGTTCAAACTCAGCCCAGGTTAGCAGCAATTGAAAGTCTTTACCATCTGACACTGTTCGTTAGCCTATTTAAAATGACTGAAGCAAAGTGTCACAGTAAAACAAGATTCCAGTATTAAGAAATATGAAGAGCCTCAGCAAACAGCAGAAACAGTCGCTTGAGACTTCACTTTGAACTCCCGCCATTCAGACTTTGTCGGAATCGACTCCCCTAACTCCTGACAGCCCCTTTCACTGCTTCCTACCCCTGCCCACCTATCACAATCCATCCTCCAGGCAGCTACTTACATGCACCAAGACAACAAAACCACCTCTTGCTGTCTCCTGGGTCTGCTACAGATACTGCACCTCTCTGTGGTTTTAAGCAGCCAATCCAGACTCAACTCCTCACTCTGCTATTTATATTTTGCTGCTACTGTTTATGCGGTGCAGCTGCAATATTTGTCAGTGCTTCTCCTCCTCACTGAGCAAACGTGTAGCAGGTGCTGCCTAATAATGCGCAACAGAGTGCAGATACCACCAAGAGACTGCTGGAACCAGAAGTTTATAAGCTGTGATGCTCCAGGCAATCACCACCAGCATTTCTACATACTTTTACACATTTCCTAACCGTGATATTTACACTTTCATGAGTGGACAAACAGATAAAAAGAGAGGTAGAAAGAGACATGTTGTGTGTAAAAAAAACTTCTTCCTCTGCCTTCTGTACTAATTTTGTACAAAACCAAAGCTCTGGAATGTAACATTTTCCAGTGGTTAGTAAATTCTGATGGAAATGCTGAAAGTTATGAACAGAAGTCTTAACATTGTTTAATGTTTTAAGTGTGTATGGAAGTTTATTTACATTTGCCTTATGCCTCAGAATCAAGTTACTTTAGAAGAACTTGAAAACATTTACATAAAATACTCACTCTACAATTAACTGTAAAATAAAAGCAGAGATAAGTAATTTGCTTTCAGTAAATCTTACAAACGCATCAAAATTAACTTTTAATCCCTAAAAAGATATGACAAAAATATTCAAAACTGTCGCAGGAGGAGAAAACACTCTGCTACTCAAATTACTGTATTTCTCAACTCCGCTGTGCTGAATACAGTCTATACAAATCATCTTTTCAATCAGATTACCCGAAGCAAATTTGATCACATTTTGAGGAGGAGTGCTCACTTGTTATTTAAGTTGCACAACTCATGAGGGAAGCAGCAGATTGAGAACAGACCTGAGACAGAGACGTACAAACTGTATTCAAAGCTAAGTGCTCTCTTCACACTGCTCATCGCTTTTCTCAGTTCTCAAGCCACCAAGAGATGCTTCTCATTTCAAGGTACTTCTAGAATATGTGATATTTTCCCTTTGCTGATCGTTCACATGTAAGCCTAACCACATGGCACACCCACATATTAACAGATATTCTTTACTTACAGACTGTAGATTTTTCCTATAAAGTCAGAAAGGAACACTAATCGTTCAGTGAAAAGCAGAACAGACTATTCTGGTGAAAGCCAGTATTTCTGATGGTAGCATCCTAAGGATATTTTGACACAATTTGGAAGTTAGAAAGGCTATCAACCTAAGGGGTCAGAATTTTTTTATTTATTTCAAAGCTCTTGTTTAGCTATTTCGGACCATGACTGCCTTTGATTAGGCTGATGACAACTAGGTAAAACAAAGCACACCGCGGCGTGAGCAGCTCTAAAGAATCAGATATTCAACATCTGGTCTGCCTCAGCAATCCTAACAGTGGTAAGCTGCCTGAAAACCACTCCAAAAGTGCCCTAAATGACAAGTACAGAAGTTCTCTCGTAGCTGCAAGGGTTTTTTTTCTTTGTTTTCTTGTGAAAAGCCAGAATAACTAGTTTTGCTATGCAATTATCCAATCTCGTGTCTCCTACTTACAGGCTAGCCTCTGAAAGATGGCAGAGCAGCAAATACAACAAAAAGTACATTGCCAACAGCAAAGAATAAATCATTCTAGCTGAATCACTTGGAGGGAGTGAAACATCTGTAACAGATTTGTGTAGCATACAAGAGACACAATGGAGCTGATTCACCAACTTTTTTTCACTTTCCTACCTCATATTGTATTGCAGCAACACTTCAAATAAAAAAATTAAGTAAAACATAAACTTCCTGTAAGGTGTTACTTATACTTTTTTGCAGATCTATACAGCAGAAAAAGTATATTCCCAAAGAGTTTCCCAATGAGACAGTCAAATAATAACACAACTCTCAATTACTGCAAAATAATTTACAGAAAGCACTGGAAGATATCTGATGGATACTCCAAAGGGAGGGAGGGGAGAAATCAGCAGGCGGTGCGAAGTATTGAACGTAGTTTAGTTAGCTTTATCCAAGTATATTCTGAAGTCTGTAAAGTGAAAAGGCTACAGTGATCTGATTGGAGTCTGCTGAAACATTAAAACAGACATAGGAAATTGCATAATTTAGTAGACGCGTTCTGATGATGCTGACAGGTCTGCAATGCACGCTAACAAAGACCTTAGGAGCATTGTTTATGGATCAGATGCCCATCATTTCGGAAATTTCTTCCGGCTGTGAAGCATTCAGGGGGAAAAAAAAAGGTAAATAAGCCTGTTTGCCACTGTTCACAGTTGCGACGTGCAAAAGGAAAAGGCTGAAGCAGTACAGGAACATCTAGATACTCTCCTGGTTCTGAAGTTAAATCTGGACACGCTTCATTAGAGTTTCTATGTTTGGCTCTTAATAGAAAGGGAGCAAGAACGAGATGTTAGTCGCATAACTGTTTGCTGAACAGAAAGTAAAGCTTGAGACCTGGGAGAAGTGACAGATCAACTGTGTAAGCGTGGGGAAGAATCAGAGGAAATTACTACTCTCCTGCCTCAAGCTGAAATACTAATTAGAGACAGCACATAGGCAGGATAGAGGAATTGGAGAATAGCTACACAAATACTGTAATTTAAGATTAGTAAATTTCTTTAAGAGTTGGAAAGAATGAGTCTGCTGTTATAGGGAATTGTCAAACTGCTTAGGCTGTATTTCAAAAGGAGTCTTTAAAGTCCTTAGAGATGGAATTGTGAAAGTTTTCTTACTGCGTATGCAAAGATCTCTACAATTAAGCGAGTTTGAGGTTTGTGACTTTGAATGCTTACCACTACACATTGCGGGGGAAAGACACCATAACACAGCAATGCTAACATCTTAAACAAATCACAAAAAGAATCGACTCCAAGGATACTCCATTGCTAATTCCATTTAGAAATTAATGGACAATAACATACTACACCAAGGAAATGGTTTTGTACTTCTGATGGGTTATGCAAAAAACCCTAAATTAATTTTCTCCTATGCAAACAAGAACATGAAGAGTCACTAAAATGTTCTCCCAGAAACTTCAAGATTGGGAAAAGCGTAAAGAATATGACCGAAGGGACACAAATTCTTCATAATATCTTAATGAACTATACATTGCCAGTAACCACCACACTCTCTAGTAGAGGTAGAGCAGATTGCATCAAGCAAGCTCCTAGCAAAAGCATGTGAAGTAAAACTGTCATGACTAATTCCAAAAGCACTACTGCCCTGCAAGGCAAGGCAAATTTTACCTGCAGTCTTCTGCTGATAGAGGGGAAAACTGCAACACTCACATTCCTCCTTCCTAACTCAAATGTTCTCTCACCTAAATAATAATATCTAATGATACCTAAATCAAATTCAGCCAGCTGTTACACAAAGTCATACAAATATGTCAGAATTATGAGGATCTCTTTATGCTCAAGCACTGCCCACATGTACAAGCAGCAAGAGGATACAGCCCGAAGGAAATGCAGCTAAAACAGAGTAAGAGGCTAATAACTCTATTGCTCGATTCCACTTTTCAGTCTGACATTATCCACCTTTTTTCACTTTTAAAAATAAAGATGACAGAATTCACTTGTTTGCAAGCTGAACTTTCTTCCTGTCTTTGAGAATGATATCCAGGTTTTATGTGCCTGTTTTCTTAGATTATGACTAGAAATGCATTGTAACAGTCAAATAAGAGGTAAAGGGGGTTTTCCATTAAACAGTTTGTCCATTCATTTGCACCATACATTATAATATCCACTACTGACTACATCAGTTGGTACAAAAATCCTACACCATGTCAGCATGTTTTTTTACACAGTCGCATTCCAGTCACACTTTCAATCACATGCAGATTGTGAGAGCTTTTATTACTGATATGCACATATAGTGTTAACCACCCTCCTAGAGAAAGTCAACAAGCAAAGTATAAAAAAGAAAAAATAAAAAAGAAACTCCAGCGAGCAGTGGGGAAAAGCATCAGAGCACAGTGGCTGCCCACTTACTGTGAACTCACAGTGGCACTTAACAGTGACCTCTTGCAAGGTCTTTAGGTCAAGTGTAACCAAGAGCAAAAGCTCCAAACGCTTTCTCGAGTGCCGTGCAAGGGCTCACTGCCACAAAGCCTTGCACATGTGGGCTTATTTAAGTGAGCAGATCATTTAAGTTCAGTGTAAAGTGCTCACATGCATCAAGTTAGTTACATGTAAGTCTTCGCAGGAGCGGACCCCTAAGTATGGAAAGAGGTTATGTTCTGTTTTTTTAAATAACAATTTTCTGAATCTGTAGAACTGTTTTTCTTACCTGAAGTCTAGTATTCATTTCCAAGAAGTAGAAATTCTTACTGGAGTCCACAAGGAATTCTACTGTTCCAGCAGAGGAATATTTTACTGCTTTGGCAAGAGCTACTGCTTGTTCTCCCATTGCTCTTCGAGTTTCAGGGTCTAGAAAAGTGCTGCAATACAGCAACAATGCCTTTCTTTAGTTAAAAAAATAATAATTAAACCATTTAATCTTCTGCTTGAAGTGCCACCAAAAGACGACATATTTAAGCTATGAAAACATGCCAAGACTGTCAAATGTATACCTTCACATTTATATTGCTCCTAAATAGATATACTGCATGCTTCGCAATTACTGCTAACGTAGAGGAAATTCAGGATAAATGACAGTGTTCTCTAAAATATAAAACAACAGAACACAACTTTTTTAGAACACTGAGATCTATAATAATGCAAGTTAAATGAAAATACATACTAACCCATGATATTACAGAAGGCATATCTATTTCCACAGAAATCTGTAGCTAAAAAAATCCATCCAATGGAAATAGGAATGCCAAGGCAGGAGGTCTAAGGGGAATTTGTTTTCTGACCCTGAATTAGAACAGCATGGCCATTTCATTGATATTTTTATGGAATACAGAAGCTCTGAAAATTAATGAAGTATTTATTTGGGCTTCTTATGTGCATAATACTGCAATGAAGAAACTTTGGGCATTCATAGTATTAAACTAAAATACTGTCAAACAATATCATGACGTAATACATAGCCTGTATTTCCACTCTGAGCTTTACTTATAAGTTGAAGACAAGTTATCTGTGTTTGTTAATTCTAATTCATTCCTTTCCACAAATCCTGAACACTCCAAGAGCATCCAAAGCTCAGCTACCACCTTGGGAGCTACTGTTAGCACTGACCAAATGCCGAGCCTTCTCATTCTTGGAGAGCAACATGCCATTTCCACTGGTCCAGTGAATCGAAAGCCTCACAAGGTACATACTCTGCTTGCTACTCTACTCTGTACTGCAAATTCAGATTTAGATTAACCTATGCAGATTATTCATTTAAAGCTAGAGAAATTTCTGTGGCTTCCCATCAAAGCCGCAAAACCAGTTGCTCCTCACCCCAATACACTGACCTTCAAGGAAAGGGAAAATGTAGTTGTTCAACCTATGTAATCTTATAAATATTCTTATTATATTTCTGTGGTGCCTTACATTAGGCACATAACTTGGCTATCATCTTAAAAGTACTTTTTTAAGGAAATAGGAAGCCATTTCTACCTTACTTCTAAATTACTGTTTAAAATTAAAATATCAAATAGTATGGATTTCCTGAGATGTCCTCAACAGTGGGTCCTAATTCTGCAAAGGACCAATCAGGAACCTCCACATATCTGGAGTGGCCCCAAAGCCAGTGAACCTCTCACAGAAGCACTAGATACTTCTGCCACAGCAAACCATATTTGACATGATACAAGGTGAGAAAATATTTAGGCAAACTGGGAGACAATGAAACCATCTTCTTCACAGGAAAAGGTGCCACTTAGCACCTCGATCCTTCCAATGCCCACGCAAGCAGATTCTGATGGATGGTAGGCTAGGTATTTTCAGAACTTAGGAAAAAAAAATAAATTCTTTCTTGGCAAACAAGGGGATCAACAGGAAAAGAAAATCAAGTTTGATCCTAAGAAAGCTATCAGATCCTACACTAGATCAAAGGGAAAAAACCAGAAGATGTGCAAAACTGTCATACCTATCAAAAATGGCACCAATAATGTAAGAGTTTCATAATATTTCTTATGTTGGCACAATAAGAGGATAATACATTACACAAAATCAACAATCTATAATTCAGTCTGGGGTTTCTGCGGAGCTTTGATCATGAAAGGTCAACGAGTGGCTTAGAGAGAATGGGATCTTTTCAATATCGGCTTCGTACTCTATTTCCAGAACAACCATTATTACTCCTCATATGGATGAAAGCGTTATTCCCCCTTATTACAGTGATGTCTTCCCTATGTTTCTTAAATGTAGGTCTGAGATCTCTGTTCACCTCCTGCTGCAGCGAAAGAATGGAACAGAGGTGTCACACTGCTAAACTTGATCTCTGCCACGTGGCTAAGCTTTATGCTCCAAAATGACTGGATAATCCCTACAATCAGCTAGGTTAATCAGTCATTTTCCTATTCCCCTCTCTGCTATACCTTTCATATACATTGTTTCTCCCTTCTTTAACAATGCACCTTTTACAAGTGAAATAACTCCTCTCCAACCTCATCAGGCATCACTTGAAAACACAACATTTTAAATCTGACTTAAAATCTTTTTCTTACACATATACCTGTTATTCTTTTGACCAAGTAGCTCCTATGGCAGCATGAAGGCTGCAAAATAGAAAAAGGATTTGCAAGATAAAAGCATCAAAAAGAAAAAAAATAAGATCAGACCTGACATTTCACTTGTAAGACCTTCAAGCTATTGTGAAGTTGATCAAAGGCAATATATTTGGTTTGTTCCATTGTTTCTACATCTAGAGAGATGACCACATGAGCAAGTTGTTACCCTTCTAGTTCATCAGACAATGTTTCCCAAAATATCTCCATCGTGTTCTCTCACAGATAAGGTTGAGATTTTGAAAAGTACAGACAGTTACATCATCAGTGGAAATTTACTGCTCAGCTTAGACCCCCTCCCCCCCACCAAAAAAAAAAATCATCAATAACATTTACTCTCCTTCTGAAGATACCACTACACTGGGAGAGAATAGTACCTTCATTTTCCCAGTGTCCAGGTCAGCTTACTTGCTCTCAGGAAACAGTCAGGCATAAAGTCTGTTTAAAAAAGCAATTACTTACCTACAAAAACCATTCTCCTTTGAGATATCTGTTATGACCTAATGCACCACAGGCATAAATATGCTAAAGTATTTGAGAACACGGTTTTGCCCCCACATCTAATCCGTGCCCACCTATGAATCCTGTACACAGTCACAAGCAGAACCTGCTCACTGTTTCTCTTAACCTCAAATCCTTCAAGGATTTCTAGACAGAGCTATAGGAAATGTGGAGTCTGATACACATACATACAGCACAGCTCTAAGGAGAGCTTGTATGTAGAGTCTAGTTCAATAACATACCTTTCTGCTAAGATCTTGCCTATACACTTTCGTTCAAATTGTCGGTGGCTTCAAGTAGCACCTTGGCAGTTAATTTGGAATATGATCCTGAAGTACTTGGCATCATACTGAGATCTTTCAGAGAGAGCTTAGAGCAAGTGAAAGAAGCTGCTGTCTGTGCACCTTCCAAGAACAGACACATTCCTGAGAGAAGCTAACAATGGAGCATGCAAAAAGTCACCAAAACAGGTTAACTGTTTCATTGGCATTCTAATGCAGTCACTTACTGGTAAAATTGCCTCCCTTTTAAATATCCTACCTCTCACATCTTTCTGTCACAGGGAGAAATCAAAAGAAACATTTTTGTTCTTTGAACTGCAACTGAAAGAACATCTTTCAATTTAAAAAGACACAGCAAAACTAACATTTAGGATAGGTAAGGCAACCTCAACTCTAAATGTATGCAGCGAGGAAGAAAAAAAAAATATTTCCTGCCTGAGACAAAACTCAAATTTTGGGAAACTGTTGAGAGACAGTGCTAAGAATCACCTTATTCTCAAAGTCTCGGATGCTAAGGTTTAACCCAAAGGACATGGGAACACCAGAGAAAAGTAGAAACATTAAAGGAGAATAAGCAGGCACCTAGCAAGTGCTAAGGACTTGCTCACTGTGGATGCTAACATGGATCTCACACGCTAGTACAGAATACAACAGCAGGGTACTGTGCTGTCATTACTTGTACAGGAAAAGCCTGAAAATGCAGAGAGAAGGTTTCACACCCAGTGTCCTCAAGCTCAGCATTTTGAGATGTAATAGTTGGAGACCACATCTCGAATACTGTGTTCAGTTTTAGGCCCCTCACTACAAGACAGACATTGAGTTGCTGAAGTGTGTCCAGAGAAGGGCAACAAAGCTGGTGAAGGGTCTGGAGCACAAGTCCTACAAGGAGCAGCTGAGGGAACCGGGGCTGTTATAGCCTGGAGAAAAGGAGGCCGAGGGGACACCTTATGGTGTCTTTATGTAAAGAGGTTGTAGTGAGGTGGTAGTAAGTCCCAAGTAACAAGCAATAGGAAAAGAAGAAATGGCCTCAAGCTGTTCCAGGGGAGGTTTAGATTGGATATTTGGAAAAAATCCTTCACCTAAAGCATTGTCAAGCATTGGAATAGGCTGCCCAAGGAAGTCACACAGAATCACAGAATCGCTCGGTTGGAAAAGACCTCTGAGATCATCATGTCCAACCGCTCCTGTCTACCCACTAAACCATATCCTTAAGTACCTCATCTACCCGCTTTTTAAATACATCCAGGGATGGTGACTTCACCACCTCCCTGGGCAGCCTGTTCCAGCTTCTGACAACCCTCTCAGTAAAGAACTTCCTCCTTATCTCTAACCTGAACCTCCCTTGGCACAGCTTGGTGCCATTTCCCCTTGTTCTATCCCCCATCACCTGGGAGAAAAGACCAGCACCCACCTCTCTACAACCTCCCTTTAGGTAGTTGTAGGTGGTGATGAGGTCTCCCCTCAGCCTTCTCTTCTCCAGGCTAAACAACCCTAGTTCCCTCAGCCGCTCCTCATAAGGCTTGTTCTCCAGACCCCTCACCATCCTTGTGGCTCTTCTCTGAACACGTCAACAAGTCGTTGAGTCACCATCCCTGAAGGTATTTAAAAGATGAGTAGAACTGGTGCTTAGGGACATGGTTTAGAGGTGGACTTGGCAGTGTCAACATTTATAGTTGTACTCAATGACCTATAGGGTCTTTTCCAACCTAAATGATTCTATGACTCTAAAAGGCGTTCCACAGAGGATCAAATGTTTAATCTTTGAGTGCTACAGCACAGTGCAGGATAATGGACACCTGCTCTCACAAAAGCAAAGTTTAAGATCATTCCTTTGAGCTCCAGTTATTGAATAAGAAGTCAGCTAAGACTCATCTATATATGCTTTCCATTGATTTACTTTAGATTGATCCTAAAGGATCAATGGATTTTCTGATAAGCTTATGGGCCTTGTTTTCCACATGAGGAAGAATGCCTTATTAATCACTAACAGAAAATACAGCCAGACCCTCACATGTTTTCTTGCCAAAGTGCACTGTCTCATAGCAACTGTCTCTGAAAATGAATAGAGAAGAGTTTGGGCAGAGGAGGAACAAACACTGAACTAAGGAACAACAACAGACTATTAAATGTTACTCATCTGTTTAAATTTCAGCATCTGTGGTGAAATGAGAAGCCAGAAGCATCTTCCCAAGAGGTGTGAAGCTAGAAGCAAATTGCTGTGTCACTGGAAGTTTTGCATACCACTAACTTTGGCCAGCACTAATTAAAAAACTGGCGATCATCAGATACATCTTATTGTCTGTGCTTCCTAGAAGATAGTAGGACAACTATGTTAAAAGGGTATAAGCAAAGTTTCTTGGTCTCCTGTTTGAAACTGGGGGATTGACCACCATCAACACTGGGGCTCCCTTGAATATCACAGCCTCATCAGGGTGTGACGTAGAAGAGCTTTCTCTACTCAAAAGAGGGTGTTTTTTGCTGTTATTGTTGGTTTTTGTTTGTTTTTTGTTTTGTTTGTTTGTTTTTACAAGAAGCTGAACTTCCTTAGAAAAACTGGAGATTCAAACACAAAATAATCCCATAAGGATAAATTCAAAAGCTGCAGACTTAGATTTAAGAAAATCATAGAGATTATTCTCAAAGCCAAAAAGCTCAGTACAGTCTGTCTTTTAAACTAGATACCTAGCAAAACACCATCATAGGAAAAAAGTAAGTCAAAAGAGAATTGAGAAGAGGCCAGAGTCAAAAAGCCCTGAATTGTACAAAAGACAAATAACCATTTTAGCCCATGGCATCCATACTGCCTAAGTTTCATTAAAAAAAAAAAGCTTAAACCTATTTCAGAGCCCTTAACAGCAGCTACCATTTAAAATAGGAAAAAAAAGGACTACTGAGGACTTTGTATTTCCTCCACCCAGCCATAGAAGTAAAGGTGTTTCCAGGAGTCATTAATCAATGAGACTGAAACGGCATTCACAGGAAGGGCTAACTTCAGGCCTCTACGGTGTCTCACAGAAGTTAGTGCCTCTCTTATCTGCAAGAATCTTGTAACCCTTTGTAAATAAATGGATTCTGCAGCCAACTGCAAGTGGCTGTAAGGCAGATAAGGCTCCCAAAGCTGTCAGTAAAAGCCTGGTAGAGTCTAAAACATTCAACAAGAAGGAATAGTTTTCATGCCAAATTTTGGAAGGTATTGACTTGCCCACATTCTTTTGTAGAGTTAAGAAGGGGATAAGAAAACTTACTGGCAACTCCAACAGAGAAGCCCAAGAGAGTTAAAAGGCAGGTTACTCCTGACAAAAGAAAACACTCCAATCACAGTTGGCTGATGAGAGAGACATGACTCCCTTTTATTTACCACAGGAATGGAGAATGAGCAGGTGACAGTGGCAGGCAGCACCTTACATGTACTCCTGAGGCAAAAAAACTCTCAAGTGCCTAGATATATGCATGTGCATGCACATATTATATCAGGACCTGAAGACATCACATTTTACAAACAAGACCTTTAGGCATAAGGCTTCAAAGAAACCCACGAGCACTACCAAGAAGCAACACGAGCTATATAAGTATTTATTAGTGGGTTTGTATTCTTATATTTAAACTATTTTTTTTAATTTAAAATCTAGGTCATAACACAGTGCTAGTTCCACAGTTATGATACAACATTAACATACATGCTGCCTCTAAATAAACATCATTTGAATTATGTGCTTTTCCTCACATCCTAAATTGTTGCATCACATAGTTCTGTGCTATAAAATAATAGCAAGCCCATCCCAGCTGGCAAACACGTTATTTTGGGAATTCCCACGGGTAGTGATATACCTGTGTCTGTTTTTCTGAAATCAGAACTTCCTTCTCTCTTTTTTCTACACATATTCTCTGATGAATACCATGCAACAGAAAACCACAGCAAGACCATACCCTGCACAGCAGCAGTGTATTTCAGCTTCATTTGAAATCGGTGAGACTAAGATAATTTAGTACTTGGGAGTTACTGGACACTTACACTTATAGTTCACTACCACAAATGGTACTAAAAGTAATGCAGAGCATTTAGTACTTCATGTTCCATTTCAAATAGAAATAAATTGTATTATCTGGCCCTCTCAGTTACTTAACATATTCAAGTATCTGTATTTGTGGTTAAATGAATACTTATTCCATATTTTATTTTACTCCCAAATTCAAAAGTTGAATAGCAAACAAAGTGAAATAGACTATATATATATAAAGAAAGCCACCTCATATACACATATCTGATTGGCAAGATCCATATCAATTTTATACAAGGTCATAAAAAAATTAACACAACACCTGCTTTCTTGTTACAGAAAGACATCATGAAGCAAGATCAAAATACCCTCAAGTGCATCAAAATTGCATTACAGTCAAATGACTACCTTAAACATTTATTGTCTTCATAGTTCTTAACAGAATAACATTTGCTTGCATTTGCACAATAAACAAAATCAGCACCTTTCCAAAAGCAGCATCAAGAGTCTAGTATACATACCTTGGTGCTTCCTCCACAACTTTTTGGTTTCTCCTTTGAATGGAGCACTCTCTTTCATTCAACCACAAGGCATTACCATGTTTATCTGCCAAAACCTGAAATCATAACACACTGCTATTAACAAACAGATGTATGCAAACGACCTTTTGGAATTATACTATTGTGTAGCATTCAATTTCATTTTATTTTTTTTTTTTTGCAATCTAGAAATACAGGTTGGGAAAAAATGCTAGCATAGAAAATTAATTGTATATGAAATAACAAATGAATAGTCCTTCAATTCTTAACAGGATTATTTTAAAGCCCCTATATAGAGACTATATGTCACAAAAAAACCACTTACTTCAAAATCTGTGAGAAACTCCCAAAAGTTCAGAAATCAAACTGAAATAAGATTAAAACTACATTTTTAATCATTAAAAATTGTGCTGCATAATGAAATTACTCAAGCATATTGTTAGCAGTATCTTGTGTCAGCAAAGGAGAGAAAAATCTCAAAAGCTGCTGCTAAATTTTGCTCCCAAATTACATACAAAATTTTCAGAAACAATGGCTAACAGAGATTTCTTAATAGGCAAGAGTCAGCACTGTCTTTAACAAAGAAGGAAAAAAAATCTTTCATTAAGGAGAATAAAATTTGCTATTTCCTCAGTACTTTCAAAGGAAACTAAAGCAGTAGCTTCAAAGGATTTCTTAACAATCAGGTGTCAACTACAATTCTTGGCTGCAGCTTCAGTTCATGAGAGAGTTAAACATAAGTCATGTATCTAGATCCAACTACCTAAATCACCTTAGAAAAACCACAAGTTCACCACGTAACAGAACTCTCAACTGATTCTGCAACTGCAAACTGGAAGTACAAAAAGGAACTCTTTATGAAATGGACTGTATGGTGCAGCTATTTCCAATAGCAGGATACTGGATTTAAGGATTCAAGTAGACTTCTTCCAATCTTATGCTGTTATACTCCACACTTATTCCTGGAACAATTTTATTCATTGCAGATCACACCTGCTCCCTTTCTTCCTTATAAAATTTTCCCTCTAATCCATTTTTTTTTCCATCTATCTTCCTGCTCTAGTCGGCGGGAACCTGTGCCAATATTCATGCTTCATTCTTTAACGGTGTACTTCTTCACTGAAAACCCACAAGATTAAAAAATGATACAATCTTCCTCAAACTGCGTGAACTCAACCATATCTACTCACATATGTGACAACGAACCTGTATTATTTATTATTCCTCTTAGCACCACAGGGCGAGTACGGCAGTACGCAAGATGAATTCCTGCATCTATGACACCAATGTTTGCTGATGCGCAAATAATCTGGGTAAATGTGACTGAGAACGAGGCACTGATCTCATGAAGACAACTCGCGTGCGTGGCACGGCCCCAGATCCAGAGCACTCCAAGCCCTGCAGGATCAGACGTGTCTTTTCCTCAGAAATTCTGTTGTGCTCCTGTAAACTTATGGAGCTTTCTAGGAAAAAAAAAATCCCCTCCAAAGAGGGGATGCTGCACCAGCATCATCTAAAGCAACTTCCTACCCAAGTCCCAGCTCATCCAATTCGGAACTAAACATCACAGAGCTCTACGGAAACCCACTTGGGAGGACAAAAGATTTCTTTAAAATGGTTTTTTTTGTTGTTGTTCTTTAATATTAAAACAGTACCTCTAGGGCATAGCATAGTACTCAGATGGAAAATCGCTGTCCAGTAAGTAGAATGATTCTTAGTGAGCACTTCTGCTTCACTGCTACAAAGTCTACAACTTCCCACAGAATTCAGCCTCACCAAAACAGACCAAAAAGGCTTGGAATATTTCAGTTAAAATTAGTTCCTGTTCTTCTCTCTGTATTTTCCTGAAGGGGATAAGAAAATATTTTTCAAGCCAACTAGTAAATATTGTCTTTTATTTCAGGACATTTAGAATCACAGACTGGTTTGGGTTGGAAGGGACCTTAAAGCTCATCCAGTCTAACCCCCCTGCCATGGGCAGGGACACTTCCCATCAGACCAGGCTGCTCAAAGCCCTGTCCAACCTGGCCTTGAACACTTCTGGGGGGGGGCATCCACAACTTCCCCGGGCAACCTGTGCCAGTGCCTCACCACCCTCACAGTACAGATCTCTTGAATCTTACTTAATTTCCGCAACTCAAACCTTAAAATAAATGTCTTTCTAATACCAGATAATATGGCTCAAAAAGAGACATGCATGAACTTTCACTATGAAAACAATTATAAATAGAATAAGCCAAACAACATAGTGTTAGGCTTTTACTTTCATTTTGGGTCTGCTGTTTTCACTATCCAAAACTAAAGAAGTTACTTTGCAAAAGAATTACATTTCAGAAGACATTGACAGAACATTGAAATAGTCACCTCCAAGATGATGCGAGATCCCAGTACACATATCATTAAAACTATGTCACAGCTACAGCTTTTTTTCTAAAAACCTAAATATTCCTAAAAGAAAATATGTTCTTGTTTGTGAGATTAGACGATTACGACATTAGTATATGCTATGCATATCTACATGCCAAAATAATTAAATATAATGTATTGCAATCTCTCCTACATGATTCAGCTAAATTCTATTTCTAGTTGTACGACTGCTATTGAGCCAAGTAATAGAAATTCCATGTACTCTTACTTTAAACTCAAGTCCTTTATAGAACAAGACTTCAAATCAGTTCAAGCATAAAGTTTATTTGGACTCTATTTTCCTGTTAATTGTTTTAGTCTTTTCTCATGTTCCACAAAGTGATTGTTTTATAGCTAGACACAGGAAACCCCTTATTTAACAATTTTAAGTACTAATGCTTTGGAGCTATAAGAGAATGTTTTAAAAAGTTCTATTTAAAAGCTCCTGCTAAATTAATAAATATTTGGCATCTGGTTTCAAACTGTTTGTATATTTAGCAGATTGAAAATTAACCAAGGTCAATGTCCTACAACTGATTAGGACATGAAGTTAAAATGATATGCTATGATATTGTTAAAAGCTACCAAAGTGTTTGTCTAAGGAAAAAAACATTCATTGTACACTTTTTATAAATAAATATGAATTATTAATGGCAAAGCTATTTTGTTTAATCTAGGTGAAATTATTCAACTGTTCTTAAATACAGTACTGCCTAATTTTATCGAGGTAACCTTTTTTAAAGCTAAAGGAATCAAGACCGTGTAAAATCTGACCTCAACTCATGAAAGTATGGGGAATCAATCTCATCTAACTTTAGGCATCACAGAGTCAGTACAAAGCAGCTGAAGCTCCCAAATCTGCAAGCACCAAAAGGAACAGATCATTAAGGTGTACTCATTTGCATACAAACAAAAAGGAAACAAAGACAGGTAGCCAAATATTATCAGCCATTGCAAGAGAACATAGGAAGACGCTCCAGCAATCTGCCCGCTTTTGCAACCCAAGAACAATGCTCGAACTAAACGTTCGCTTTACACCTTTCCACGATCCTTCGGAAGATAATAGCTTGGGGTTTAATTAGGCTGGTTTATTTCATTTTTACAGCTTGCTTCCTCATTTTACAGATGCAATAAGTTACCCTGCGCACAGACAAGTTTTATATAAAAATCTAAAATAAATAAAAACATGGGAAGTATCAGGTTTGAGTGGGCATATATCTGGCAGAGTAAAAAATACTCAGTATTTCTCTCTAACAAATCATTCTGCACCATCAAATTTACTGTTGCTGGTTCATTCAGTCATTGAGCTACTGTCAAAATACTTCAGGCTCTCGCCGTAAAAGAAAACATGCCACAACTTAGAGTTTGTTTTATACAAAAAAATAAATTAAATTTCTGTTGAAATAGTCCATGCAGATTTCTTGTCAGGAAAGATTATTTCAAGGCTATTGACAAACTGAATTTAGGTGCCTACATAAGATTAAACACATCACAAATTTTTGAAATCATAACTGTGTTAAAGAGTCTGTCCAAAACAAATTTCTTGTTTCACATTAGCGCTTCTTGCTTAACACTAGATCAAATAAAAGATATAAATGGTCACAGCCCAGAAGTTAAGGAGAACACACATTATTTTGAACCACAAATTGTCCAAAATGGGACAAAAATCCTCTTAAGTGCCTAGGGAGCATTAGATACTTCAGAACAGACTCCAAAATACTGACAAAACCACCTAGAGCTCGCAAGAAAAAAAATGTTAAGTATGGCAGTGCTTGAACTGCTACCACCTTTGCTGTGCCCAAGCCCTGCAGTCAGGATCCAGAGTTCAAGCTCCAGCCCTCAGGACAGATGCCTACAGACTTTTTCCCCCCCTCAACAAATCAAGCTTGGTTCAATGTCTTCCTGCTAAAGAAAGGCTAAAGAACAAAAACAGGAAGGCTGGATCGTGCACGATAGCCATGGAGTTTGAGCAATGGCCCAAGACACAGGAAAACATAAGACCCTAGGCCTTTTTTAGTGAAATGTTTGAAAGGTTTTGATCTTCAATTAGTTTAGGAGTCCATCTATTATTAACTAAGTAATAAATAATAACACCACCACAAACCTGGATTTCTATGTGACGAGGATTATCAATGAACTTTTCTATCAGTAAGCGATCATCACCAAAACTTGAAGCAGCTTCTTGGGATGAAAACCTAAAGCCTTCCCTTAAATAATGAAAACAAAAAGAATAAGCTGTATTTAAAAGTTAAGTCAAGTTCTGAAGTATACAAGGAGAAGGAACACTTATTCATTCCAGTCATCTGGCAGTTTTCATCGATCAGCACACACAACCAAAACCCAAGTTTTACCATTTGTATTTGATTTTTTAATGAGCATCCCTTTTTTCTTTTTCTTACAAAGACAAAAAAAACCACATTATCAAAGCACAAAGAACTTCAAAGCATTTAAAAAGTCTGGGCATTTGTGACAATTATTAGTATTACTTTTCTTTGTTGGCATTTTCTTCTCCAAAAGCAATAACAATCAAATTTTAAAAACCAATTATTACAAAGTACTTGTTATATAAATGTAAAGAGGTGAAGATCACCATTATTTAAAATACACAGCCCTCTTAATCCTCAAGAACAGCAGAGGTTAGTTGCACATTAATTAGATGAAAGAACTGCAGCTATAACATTGCAGACCTTGTAAATTCAATCGCTGAACACAACCAGAAGATGCAGTACTTCACTCTATAGAGCATGCTGGCTGTACCACTAGTTTTTCCCCGCATGAAATTAACTGTTATGCCGCACATTCCATATACTTCTGTTTTCTTATTTACATATGTATTTACTCAAATAAAGATTGTAGGGTACTATATTTATTGATTTTTTTTTCCGTGGCAGAAAGATCACTCCTATGGGGTATAACTGCTGACAAACAACTTCACATATAGCTTTCTCAGGGTGAAATGCACCATAATGCAGGGACCCAAGGGCTCCACAGAAGTTTTCTACAGGCTTAGTAATCCCATTTATGTTGATACATACAGGAAGTTTGGGGTAAACTTCTGTGGGACTGACTACTGAAATGCAGCAGCCCTATTTTTTGTGCCCCAAATAAGAACTATGGCACAACTGAGTTGAAGCTTCCATGCTTTTCATCTCTTGAATATGGTTCAATTCCACAGACAAAACCCGGATAACAGAAATGTGAGATAAGTAATTCTACAGTATAGAGATGCCTATCTTTAAAAGTATTTCTTCACCTTTTTTCAAGATTGTGGAATAGTATGTGTTACAATTAAGATATTATATGCAATGTACAGACTTGCCTAAATTCATATTTAACATCAATGTATTTAATTACTTAATAAAAAGACAGATGTGAAAATTAGTGATTCTGTACACTACCTGATCTGTCCAAAAATACAAGGTGAGGTGGCAAACAGGCATACATAGTATTTGAGCTTAATGAAACAGATTTAGAGCTATTTTAACTCCTATATCAAAGGCTTTTGTAAACATTATATCAGACACTTCTGTGCACAATTTACTATTTTCCGTCATTGAAGTATGTGCTAATTAGAAATCTAAACTGCAATACTCGTTAAAAAAGAGTCAGATACCTAATTATCTAATCCATACATCTGTAAATCTTTTTTAAATTATATATAACAGGAATTACTAGGTATTCTGACCTTGTTTGTATCTTACAAATGTGTGTAGTTGCACTTGCTAAGTGATAAAAATTACCATAAACACACTTCACCTTTCTTAAAGGGATCATGCTAACCAAATGAAGATGAATCTGCATATCTTCAAAAATATTTAAAATTAAAAAAAAATTAAAAATCTGTTTAGGCTAGAAGAGAATTTGCACTTGAAGCATCATCCTTTCACCAAGCACCAGCCCCACAGAGCCTCGCTGCAAGGAAGATGATCCCCACACAGCACAACTACACCAATACACATGACCAAGTCCAAAATGTTCCTGCCCATGCTAATACCAGAAAAAAAGTGGAGGGGAACTTGGGACAGGGAAACCTGTCTGGGCCAGGCACAGTTTACCACAGAAGCAACATGTTGGCTGCGGCCTAATTAAGCCCTGACATTTGACAAGATACAATCATTCAGGCTGATGTGTCTCACCTATACGAAGAGCATCGTTGGTATTCTCGATGTTATGACTCAAAGTAAAGATGGTCAGAGCACACCAAAACCAGCACAGTCAAGCAGGCTTGCTGAATATGAAGGATTTACTTATCCTGCCATAGCTTTCTTGTGGTTTTCTGAAGTGATATGGTCCATGCCAACTTTCTGCCTCCAGCTCCAAAATCAGCATTGCTGCTTTAATTATGCCATCCAGAGGGACCTGGACAAGCTAGAGAAGTGGGCCCTTGTGAACCTCATGAGGTTCAACAAGGCCAAGGGCAAGATCCTGCATCTGAGTAGGGGCAATCCTTGTTACAAGTACAGGTTGGGGGATTATGTGATAGAGAACAGCCCTGCAGAAAAGGATTTGGGGGTACTGGTGGATGAAAAGCTGGGTATGAGCCAACAATGTGTGCTCACAGCCCAGAAGGCCAACCATATCCTGGGCTGCATCACAAGAAGCGTGGCCAGCAGATAGAGGGAAGTGATTCTGCTCCTCTACTCTGCTCTGGTTAGACCTCACCTGGAGTACTGTGTCCAGCTTTGGAGTCCTCAACACAAAAAGGACACTGAAGTGCTGGAGTGGGTCTAGAGGAGGGCCACAAAGATGATCAAAGGGCTGGAGCACCTCCCCTACAAAGACAGGGTGAGAGAGTTGGGGTTGTAGAGCCTGGAGAAGAGAAGGCTCCAGACAGAACTCAAGACAGAACTTAAGCCTTCCAGTACCTGAAGGGGGCTTAAAAGAAAACTGTTTACAAAGGCGTGTAGCAACAGGACAAGAAGCAATGGTTTTAAACTAGAGTAAGGTAGATTTAGGTTAGACACTAGGAAGAAGTTCTTCACTACGAGGGTGGTAAAACACTAGCACAGGTTGCTCATAGAGGTGGTGGAGGTCCCAACCCTGGAGACATTAAAGGTCAGGCTTGATAGGGCTCTGAGCAACCTAATCTAGTTAAAGATGTCCCTGCTCACTGCAGAGAAGTTAGGCTAGATGACCTTTAAAGGTCCCTTCCAACCCAACGCATTTGATGATTCAGATACCAGCTTCTGAGTCTGAGAACTGCTGAAAATTAGTTTATTTTTAGTATTACATGGGATGTGGATGCAGCAAGATGATATATGAGGTAAACAACTTCTCATGAGATATTAAAATTATCAGATACGTTGTTTTGTCAGTAATGAGTTGAACCACCTTCAAAACAGTCAGATATCCTTCCTCGGACACACAGAGAGGAGCAATCTTAGTTCCATAATGCAATTAATGGACACGTAGAACAAAAGTTTTACAAACTCACAGATACTTCTTCAAGACAGATTATAAGAGAAAGCCAAATGTTCTATTTCATATGTAAATGCAAAGTAAATCTATCTTCAGCTCCCTTAATCTCACTTATCTTCCTGCAACAAGTACTTTGTCAAGCTAATTTTGCCTTCATTGCTCTTACACAGAAATATTAAGGTACACATTTCTCCTTGATATAGGATCAGTTACTAGTGTTGACTTGTCACTCAGTTTAGGTGTTCTCTCTCTCAGCACTTTTTAGATATTACTCTATAAAATTACACTGTAAAGACAAGGCTTGCATTACTAACCAAAAGGATTATTGTAAGAGCACCACTGGCAAATAAGGATTTAATGGTATTTCAAAGGCTTTCCATGAACAAAGCAAACCTCTTAAAGTAATATCACTAAACATCACCAGGTCAAAGTAATATCACTAAATGAATTATGTACGCAAGTGTACAAAAAAGAACATCTGTAGTTGGCTTCCTGTTGATACCAACCAGCTCTATCAGGTGACTTTATAAACAATAACCACAACTTCTCTCCAAAACAAATTAGCAATCATTATTTTAGATTCAGTTTTTTATTTTTTAAGCAGTGACTTTAACCAAGCTCCTTTGCTCCTTTCTGAGCAAAACAAGAAATGAATGCCTTCCTTTCACATCCAACAGATTCGATTGCTGCCTGAACAAGATCAAGGCAGTAATTTTGGATTCTAAAGCACTGGGAACAACGCATCCTTGTAAGAAAGCAGGTTATTCTAGATCTTCATTCTAATGCACAAAACCTTATCTTCCTATTTTGATTTGAATATAAATGGACTAGAGGTAGCAAGGTATGAAAAATATACCACCTCACATTTTCTTTCAATCTAAAGTTTAACTGCCAGCCATTCATTGCTCTTTTTTCCAGTTTTGAGGTTTTGACAAATTTAATGGAGAACACAAAAATATGACTGGGAATTCTTACAGGTGACTAAATTAAAGTAATGGAAACTTGAGTTGTGGTTTGAGTTGATTCCAGCATATGTGTTGTTCTCTCCTCTAAAAAATCCCAAAAACTAATTTTTCTGTAACATCAGTGGTACATGGGGTTGAAGCCAGGCTCCTCACTGCCAGAAAATCCACAGAGAATGGATTGTAAAACTTCTCATCTCAAGTCAATAACAAAGCATCTTGAAGTGTTCAGGATTCGGACAACCATGAATAGACATGAAGATGTCTGCGTGTTTAAACAAACATTGTTTCAAATAGGCAAAAGCACAATGGTTTGCTGAGACAAATATTTTAAACACAGACGTATACAATTCACTAGCACACATTCTAGAAACATTGCGTTTCCGCACAGAAATAATCAGTTTCATCAATTTTAACAAAACTAACAGCACGCATTAACATCTGAGAATCAGGGCCAGTGAGTATTCTGCCTAACACACAGATAATCAATGCATCAGCATGCTGAAAGGCATACAACTAAATGTTATTTTTGGACTAAAGGCAGTTGTGTTTGTTTTCTACTCAAATTAATGGACCATGTTTTGTAAGGTTTTTGCAAAACGTAATTTTAAACAGACACATGCAAATTCCCAAAGTATCTCTCTCACAATACTAGAGGGAGAAAACCAAATAATATTCAGTTTCTGTTTAACATTTCATATCTGCTCAACTGTCAGCTCACAGTGGCTTAATAGGACTTTAGTAACTGCAGCATTCATCAAGGCAAAGCTTTTGGACAGCGTCTCACCTGGTCTCTTCATCATCCCAAGCGATTCTCATGCCTTTCCCACCACCACCTGCTGAGGCCTTGATCATGACAGGGTAGCCTAACAGCGGGGAACAATTAGACAGAAGTTCAAACTTTGTTCAGTTGGGCAGAGGAACATGACAACTGACCACATGTCCAATCATGCCAGCAGACAATAACTTCGTTTATTAAAACACTTTGTTTGGAGGAAGAGGAGAGGAGAGATTTTTCTTTTCAAGACTGAGCTGTCAGCGCAGAGATTTCTGAAGCCAAGAAAGGTTGTCTTCTTCATTTCATTTATACCAAAAAAAAAAGCACTGAATGAATTACTCCCAAGTAACAAAGTGATTTATGAATAAAGGTATTTGACCTTTTTAAGCTCACATTTCTTTAGGAAAAAAAATTTGGTCATCTATTACTGCCAAAATAAGCTGTAGCTACGATTGGAATTTTTTTTACATTACCAGCAAAATTAAGGAGGAAACCTTCATAAACTATCACTCAAGAGATTCAATAAGCAAACCTGTATCTTATCAACACTTTTGGTGCAGTACATTTTAAATAACAGAACACCTCAAAAGAGCGGTGCTGCTCCGATATTACGCAGTAAGTATCACAGGAAACAGATTATTACATTTCCTTTAACAATAAAAAGGATTTTCCCCAAATTGACAAGTAGTAAGAAAAAAAATAAATGAGGAGCATAAATCTGACAACATCTTGCCTAACTTAATATTTTACTTTCTGAACAAGATACCATAATATGAGTATGAGCCAGGATCTTAGTTCTCTGAAGGCTAGAAAAGCACAGTAACAAAGTATGCAGTGAAAAAGTGGATTTAGTAATGATCGGTTATCTTGCAGTACAATATTTTAATTCAAAGCAACTTCTTAAAACAATTTCTTATTCATATAAGTGAACTTCACCTTTCTTTCACATGAATGTACAGAAATTTGAAAATTAAGGATCTGATTAGAAAGTTTTTGACATTTCTAGGTTAGCAGAAAATTCTACAAGCCTTTGGTCTCCAGTATGTTTAATGAGAGTCATAACATTAAGCCAAATATCAAACCAGCTGATACTGTCTGGCAAGAAGAGTTCCTCTTCTCAGAAACTGAAGATACATCCTATACAAGACCTCGATCTAGGGAGAGAAAGGGACATCTGAATATGGATTCTAACAGAAATGGTCAAGTCTGCTATCCTATGTGTATCTAACATTCACAGGTTCTGTCTGGAAAAGTAGATCTACACCTGCTCTGCCAGTGACAGCGATACAGTGCACCCTCCTCCCCAAAGACATTTGACTGAAAGAGAGTTCAGGAGAAAATAATTAAAAGCAGCAAGATCTGGGGAAACTTTTTTTAAAAAAACTGAAGCAGACACACCAAGAAGGGACATGATACAAGCACAAGAAACAGAGTAGCACTGATTGGAAGGTGGGAAAGCAGCAACAGTACAAGAGAACACTAGATTAAAGAAATAGCAAAAATCACTAAAACAGTTTCCATCATAAGATGTTGTTAGACTGTGGATCTCCATGCTACAGTGCATTCATGTGGCTGAAAGCTGCAGAAAAGTAATAAGCATATGTAGAGCATAAATCAAGTTCCTCTAGGCAGGGATGTCCAAAAGGCTATAAATCTTCATGCTTTAGAGTTTAAAGTAATCTTTATTTACTAAGTATAAGGGCAAGACCAAGGCATACCGATAAGCTTGCTGGAGCCTTATGTTTCCCTACAAAATATCTGATGCTGCCCACAGAGGAGTATGGGATTCGATCCGGAACTAAGTATTTTCAAGGCCCCTACAATCCCAGAAATAAAAAGGCATGGGCAAAAAAAACCCAGATTGCATGCAGCGAACAGTGAAGTTCAACTCCTTTTCATGAAGTGAAGCATATGCAGTACCTTCATAAGGACAATTTATCTATGCTGTAGCTGCTTTTCCAGAACCCTGGCAAGTCACTATCTCAAAATAAAGCAAAAAGCACATATCTTATGATTTTCATGCAAGAAGTGAGATTGAAGTGGGTAATGCCAGAAAACTCACACCTCTGGCAACACTATCACCAGCTGGAGATTCTCTCCACCTCAAGAGGCTGCAAGACTGAAATTCTTAAATAAGCATCGTTTTAAGCCTTATTACGTCAAACTCACTATAGCAATTTCCATCACCTAATCTGCCTTATTCAGCATTACATGTACTTGACAAAATAATCATCAATTATGCTAACAATTCCATTTTAACAATATCAGTCTCTTGAATGGCTTGCTGATTTTAATTCTGTAAGCAGAGCCTAGCCCTAATTTACTGTCCTTTCGTTTCAACAGCAAAATAGGCATACACTGGCAGTGAGCCTCGGTGAGTTTTTATATGCTACAGAATATAAGAGTTCATATATCATAACTCACATGGTTAAATTATCAGATGGGATATGTGAGCTACTGGTATCACTCACAGTGTAGGAACACTTTGCTTCCTCCAGCTTTTATGTATACTGATTACGTGTTGACCACACCTGTATGCAAGGCAGCTAAAGAAGCCAGGCAGCCACAATATAGCTAAAAACTTTAAAATAAAATAAAATCAAAGTAAGGCCTGTTTTGAATAGATGCATACATCTTTTCAGGTTGAAAAGGAAAGATTCTTTGTAACAAACCTCTACAAGTTAGGATGACGATTAGCCACTCCCCTGAAAATATGGGGACTTGAACTTCTGCTCAAATACGCTTTTACACACTACTTGCTCTCTGGGGCACTGAACTAAGTTAAACAGTAGCTCTTTGGCCAGTACCGAAGACTGATGTGTGCTGAGACAAGGAAAGCTTTGTAGAATCTAAGTTTTGTGTACATATTGGGTACAGGATGCTGGGATCACGATGTGTTAATCATCGTTCTGCTGACCCCTTTTGCACTATTCCGCAGCAACCAAAACCGCTGAAGTACACTCACATGGGTTGGTTGGATTAGTTTTGGGGAGGCAGAGGCATGCATGTGGGACCCACACAACAACAGCAATGAAGAATGTGACAAAGCAGGCACATTTTTGAGTAGGTGTTCAGTTTTCAACCCTTCATTCAAATTAGATGCCAATTTGCATGAAGTTAAAATCGCATGTAAGAATAAAACCTACTCTTGCTCTAGTTTTATATTTCCACTACATATCTGAAGGATGAGTCTAGAAAGACCTTAGAAGGCAGGAAAGTAAAAAGCTGTCAAATTTTAAGATAACTGATGCTGAATAAGTACTATTAAGTTAGGACTGCTTTGTTTCCAGGGTTGTTACTACTCTGAGAATCTGGATGGTAAAAGGAGTAAACAAACTTCTGGTGTCCCAGAGCTGTTAGTTCCCACCTTTTGCCACCATGGTTTTAGATGTTATTTATACGTTTTCATAATGTTGCAGGTAGTAGACCACAGAATGCATTATACAACATCAGTTTGAGCAATACTGCATGTGGCAATACCAGATTCTTTTCAATATCCATTATTGAAAAGCCAGTAGTGACCAAACCCATGTCAAGTGAAACATGACAAAACCAAGTTTTTCACCTCTTCAGTTTTGTATAGACATGTATTTAGTTTAACTGCCTGCACTTCATAGCTGTTCAATTCTGGAGTTTCATCGATGCTTCAGAAATACCCAACTTACAGATCAGCATAAAAGTAGCATAGGAAAACAGACAATGTGATTGAGCATTACAGAAAGGATCACAAGAGAAGAACAGACAAATCTAGGAGAGCACAGAAAGGAGTCTAAGCAGCAATTTGTGCCTGAACTTCTTCCAATTCCTGATTTAGCCTAGTATCTCTGTCTCATTCTCTCTCGACAGCTTGGGAGAGCACATCTCAAATGCAGGGCAAAAGATAAGTTTCACTCCTGTACGTACAAAATTTGTATCCATAAGTAACAGACGCTGAAATAGGTAAAGGCAGTATCTCAACCCTGAAATGTGATGCTTCACTGCCACTGGATCTTTGGCCAGAATATAGCAGGGAAAAGCAGGGAAAAATGCAGGTAGCAAAAGAACATTACACAATATTTTAGAGTTTTAAGCACTAACCCACAATGAATTTTTTTTTAATTATTACTTAAGCATTCTTGGAAGACCAAGGCTCTGGATAAGTAAAATTAAAAGTAACCCGAAAGTATTCAGTTGCATATCAAGTGCTTTATATATGAGGACAAATGCACGATGCACATAAGACACTTACTGTAAACCCTTTGAAATTACACATCACTGGGTTTTATTCTGATCAGTGGTCATGATTAGACAGAAGCTTAACCAAACTAATCAACTGGTCTAAACATGGGTTGGAACTTTTCTCTTTGACTACATAGCATCATAGCACAAATTTGTTTTGTATCAAAATGATTTAAGAATTTGCCCTCTACATAAAGCACCACCCAGCTGTCTGTAATTTACTTCAATACCTACAGATTTAAGACTGCCTTGATATAATGACCTCCAATGTGCGACTGATACTAAAGATGGGAACAAGTCAACAAAACACCAGAGGAACTCAGAAGAAAATTAAGCAAAAATACATTTTAAAGGGTATCTAGGAAGCCACTGAATGCTTTCCAATTTACATTAACCAACTGCTTTCAAAATAATTGCAGGAAATATTTAACAAACAAGATCAAGGAATACAGGTGAAACGAAACTGAACTGAAAGAGTCATAATACTATGTAATGTGGTTTTTTAGGGACTAAAACCAATTTTATTAACAGTTCTCCTCCAAATATTCAGGTTTGGTTGATAACCCCTTCCTTTTGTTTCTGCTCTCATGACAGTGATCAGTAATCACTTGATTTCCCAACAGGGACACAAAGGCTGACCCACAGAAACGTTGACTTCAATTATGTCAGCCTAAAAGCCAGCCAAGCCTACACTGAGAGGTTTCAGGGCAGTTACACAATGCAGGGTAACAAATCCCAACTTAAATTTAACATGGAAAAGTGTTACGCTGACAAGAAGTCATCTGCAGCGCTGCAAATCCCAATTTGTTTGACACACAAGGCACAGCCGTAGCCTTTGACATAGGTGAAAAGTATTTGTAGCGAGATCAGTAAGGGAAGCTTCAAATGTAGACACATACTTCGAATTATATATCTGTGATGAACATCAACAGCTTCTCACAGTGACTTTCTCAAAATGAAAATGCAAAAATCTCCAGTAAAAAAATCTTACTGCATTAGCTGCTTCTTCTAGAAAGCATTTAGGAACGTGTAATTTCAAGCATATGGTTAAATATTTTCCCTAATATTAAGCTTTAGTAAATAAAAGCCAACACTCATTAAACACATATTACACTTAACCTTCATCAAAACAAGTCCTAGACAGTTTGCTAGTTGCTCTTTTCACCATTCTGTACGATTTTCAGCAGCTGAATAGTGACTTTATTCCAGAAAGCACAGAAAAAAGGCTGGTGGTCTGGATGATATTCAAGCTAATTGCAGCCCACAGAGTGATGAAGAATGAAGATCACAACAACACTGGTGTCAGCTTCCATATAAAGAGAAATGTCCCATGCCTAAGTTCTGACTATCATGTCCAATTGCAGGCATACTTTGAAATAACTCCTTTACCGAGCTGCTCATTACTGCATATTACATGCGTTCCACAAATCATGGCTGCACTTGTTCTGTGAAGTCCAGTTTGTAAAGGTAAAATATAATTATTTAAGAGACAGGGCATTAATGCTTAGATTCTTCCAACCCTATAGGCAACAGGGAACTTACAAACTCCTAAAACACTATTTGTTCTATAGGGATTACTTATTACACATTCAATTTAGTCAACCATGTCTGCTGAGAGGCACACAAATCCCACCATAGCTAATTTAAGAACTTACCAATTTCCCTTGCAATTCTGACAGCTTCATCTGCATCCTGTAAAAGCAGGAAATGAGACCCAACGTTAATCCCATCAGCCATTGCACTGTGTCCTGAGGGCAGTCATATATTGCACTACTGTCTCCTCTGATTCATTTAATGTTTGATTTTACAACCTTCTGACCCTTTTCAGCCAGAGGAATGTAAAATTAATACCATAAGTGGAATGTAAATTCTACCTCATCATTAGTATACAGAGAAACTCAAAGCAAGGAGGAATCAGCTGACAGGAAACACAACCAGGATCACAACATTATTTTCTGCAGTTGTAGGAATTTAAAGCTAGAATTTAGAAGTTTACAATCAATAATGGACCATAAATCAGATCATTAAAGTTTGACCACGACCAGCTTGTTTCTGTCCTCACAGGTATTTCTAGTGTTTTCCTGGTTGTTGTCAGTAGGGGGAGTTGATTCTCTATTGTTTGGGAGTGATTCAGGTTCAGAAAAAATCTCGTAGAACTTTTTTAAAAGACAAATTTTTTATTGGTCTACTGAAAGAAAGAGCACAAGCATTTCACTTTTGTAAGTTTTTCGTTCTAAAGACAGAATAAACTTTAAATGCGTCATTTTAAATTGTATCCGAAACGAGAAAACGCATGTAAAATTGTTTCCCTTTAGGAACCCACACATGACTGGCGCATGACAATTAGAAAAATCCTTTTGTTGATGCCACCTATTGCTTCAGCTGATTCATACTACTAAAGCCTGGTACAGAAACAAGTATTAGGAAACCCAGAGAATAAAAAAAAACAGAAAAATCAAATTGCTTTTTAATAACCAAATCTCTTCTCCTGCAGCAGTTAACTCTGGTTTCTTCTACCAATAACAATATATTTCTATTATACAATACTAGAAAGAAAAAGGGGTCAAAACAGTGGCATGGGTTAAGTTCAAAAATTCCACCCAAATTTGCTAATATTTATACTATTCCGTGACATGCATTAAAAAATTTGTATGGAAGGCAGTAACGTCTGGAAACCACCAGCTGCTAAGTGCGTCTGAAACTATGGGGGCTGACTTATGAACATTAAAATGAAACCTGATATTTTTAAAGCTTTCAAGGCAATCCGTTTTAAAAGCACCCAGGTCAGAACTTCTAAAAAAAATACATTAGAAATGTTCGTACCTGGTTCATTTATGTCCAATAATAAAACAAAATCCTCTTTAAAAGTCTTCAGTACCTAGTAACAGCCCCATGAAGAATAAGGGGGCTGGCAGGGGAAGTTGTCAGAAAATTTAATTTCCTTTCATTAGCTAGTCTGCTCCACAAATCGGTGCTTGTTAAGTTCAAAGCAGTCCTGAAAGCAACATCAGTTTTAAGTCTTTTTACTCCAGTCACATCTGTTAATGAGATTTTTCCAAATAACAATTGTTTTTAAGTCAAGAGATAAATCTAGCGAAAAAACCTCCCCCACCCAAAAAATAATAATAATTAAAAAAATCAAGTTTTACTGTTTTATTACACCTTGCTGCTTTCCATGACCCTGCACCCTCCAAATTTTAGCTTAAAGGGATAAAACGCATGAAAAGGGTCATTTCAGAATGTTAGTGGTTTCCACACATTGAGTTTGAAGGTTCTTTGTTCCTGCCTGTGACAGTTATGCGAGAATACTTCCCCTTAATAGCCTCTCTGTCAGGAAGTGTTAAACCTGCCAAATGCTGACAATTAGAGCCTCTGGAACAAAATGCAGGAAGAGTGATGACTGATGAAGAGCCACGATTATAGCCGAGAAGGAAACTTTTACATTTCTTTTCTCTTGCAAATGCCCTCATATATTTGCAAAACAGAATTAAGAAAGGGGGGAAGCAAACACGGTCTTTTTTTTTTCCTTCACTTAGTTACCTGCAAACAAGTGGCTCAGTGACACACTGCGGTCCGCAGGCGGACAAGCTGCAAATCATTACAGGGAAACTTTTCACTGCCACTGTATTTTTATACAACGACTTTAAGTAATAAGCGGCATCACATCAGCAGCGCTAATTGTCTCTCTTCGGGCTTGAACAGACTGAAGTGATCTGCCCAGCGCAGTTACTCATTTACACTATTTCGACATCTGTTTCTTTTACAGTTCTAATATATTAGAATTCAAACTCCAAGATTAAATAAAAGTCAATGTATATTCAAATTCTTTAGCCTTCAAAGAGTGTTCCTGAAATAGAAAACAAAAATATGCTGTGCTATAAAGGAAAAAAACTAAAACAAAATATTAATAAACAACTGGCATCTCAAAATCTCTGGTTAAGTCTTTTGATCTTTTCCTCTAGGAAAGTATGTTTTAGTATCACGCATTTCACTTGCAGATTACACAAGTGCAGCAGCAGGTTGAGCACTCAAAAACATAGGAAAGTGGTTTCAGATTTTTGGTGCAAAGGACTTATGAAAGATACACATCATTTGCCATAGCAGGGCAAAACCTGAATGCTATGACACTGCACAACACACAAGTCCATATGTGCAAAATATACAAAAAACACACAGGCACTAAAAATATTTTGAATTCTTTTTAAAAAGCAAAAGTTCTCACTGATTTACTGCCATTTCCTCGAAAAAAAAAAAAAAACCAACACTTTAGCTACACTACCATTTTCCCCACAATAAACTGCAGATTGTAAAGAAATATATAATTTTAGCACCACCTTTTATTGTACAAATAAAAATGTTCAGGTAATGGTACAAGTTTATAAAAATCGTAAGAGTTGTAAAATGATGTCATAGTAGTTGGTTTGGTTGTTTTGGTTTTTGTTTTTTTGTTTTTTTTTTTTTTACAAATGGCTGATTTCATTAAGGTAAAAAGACAAAATAGCATAAGAATTTCTAACCTCTTACTTTCTGGTACGTGCCTCTCTGCCAGGTACCAGCAGGTGGAGACAAAAAAGCAAAACTATCCTGGTGTAGAGGAATGCCAGGATAAAACTGTTTAAGAGACTCCAAGAGCTGTAAATCATTATATTGATTATGAAGAACTACATAATAGTTTTCATGGCTGAGGGAGTTGGGCTTAGAGAACCTCCAGTTCATGCATAGTCTTCAACAACCTCTCCAGCACTATAGTGATCATTTAATACCAATGTCAATACTCCAAAGCAAGAAAATACAGCCAAAACAGATTCCTGAAACTTCAATACAGTAAATTCATAGCCTTGCTGAAAGCCTTCAACGTGTCTGCTGACATCTGTGAAACTAAGTAGACACCCAGAGACGTTAATCTTCTGGGTCTACACCCAGCTGTGTTCTACCAGCCATAAAACCAAACTGGCTGTACATGGTGAAACAATATAGAAGTCTTTCTTCCCTTGTCACTCTGTCAGTTTTTAACGCAGCATCTCCTTATACTCATTACTCAGCCTCCACTTTCTTCTTGTTACTTATTCATGTACATCTTCTCAGCTCTAACCTTAGTATAGTCATTGCTCATGTGGATTAACATGACTACTTTTCATTAGGACTATTTAACACTATCTCTCCCAATCAGACTTCAGGAAACTAATTGGAGTTACAAATTTAGAAATGAACTATCTTTGAATGCTTTTGTTGACTCTCTAGCTGATAGTACCAGACTTAGCTTCCTTACATGTGTGAACTGGATATCCCTTGCCTGAGCCAACTGAGAAACTAAACCAGGGATGAGAAGAAAATTACTCTGTCAAACTACTTTCTCCACTCTCACTCCACATCTTTCCATTCTCCATTTCCTACTTACTATAGCATTTGCCTGTATGAGAATAGTCATAGTTGTGTCTCTTATGCCAAGCATCCTCCTCTCTAGGTCTTTATGTATACTGTTGAAGGGCTTCCTTCTCTTAACTTTCTAATTTAATTTCCTACTGACCGGGAATTGTTCTGCATACAGCTTCTCCAAGATGTTATCACAAAAGCTTAGCAACTCCAGTTGCTACATCTAAGTGCTAAGCAACACAAGAGGGGGAAAACACTTATCCTTTATTAATGAAGGACCTATGTATCTGCAGCACTATTTAACAAGTGCTGGATAAAGACAACTCTTAAAGTGAAGATTTTCAGTGCAGTCCTGGGTTGAATAACAAAGTACTAGAATTTGCTACTCTATGTTCATTTTAACTATTCATCCACAAAGAATATGTGCAATTGATCTTTCTTAACTTCTGGAATTGTCAGAGGCATGAATACAGTTTTCTTCCAGCTTTATTAGACTCCACTATAAAGACAAAGCCACCACTAATCAACTCAAGTAACAAGCAGACACTTAACTCCTTCCTAGGACCTTTATAAACAAATTATTTCTCAAGAAAAAGAGCCCTCAAAGATTTTGAAAGCTTCATAATTCTGAGGAAAACAGGTCTCCTACAGGACAGAAGTCCTGTAGAGCTTCCAATTCCTCCTGTGTTGCTCTTCTGATCACACCTGATATGACACAGCTTTGCCCTTCCTATCTCAGTCTGAATTGGCAAAATAATACATCAAACCAAAAGACACCAAAGATCAGGCATCTGTATGACCTATTTACTCATGTATTTATTACCACAGAAAGGAGATCAGAAGAGAAACACAGGCATGCATTTAGATCCACAGAAAGATTAAGAATATCAATTATCAGAAGTTTTATTTTCTGGAACTGGTAATCAAAGCATCTGTTAACCTGAAATTTTCATCTCCCCTTCTTTTTGGAAACAACAATGCTGGCAATGTCTGTGGACTCTGGACTCTCAGGCATCTTCATCCAATCCAATAATTCTCCGAAGGTGTAGTCCCTTTGTACTCTATTCACCTTTCTCATTTAGCTGGGTTGTTTTTTTTTTCCTCCTAACAGAGTTTAAAAATCCAACTTAGCTGATCTGAGGCTGAACACCATTGCCCCGGTGTACGTTGTTCCTTAAAATACAATCTGCATCCTATCAATATATTCAGTTGTTCCCAATTACCTTGACAATTCCTATTTCATCATGTAAATAAGATTTATGATCAGAGGTCAATAGCAATCATCATGAATAAAGCCTGAAAACTTTTCCCTTCAAGTATATTAAAGTGTAGTTGAAACAGACTTCTCATTTCTTCCTGCAACTCAAAGTTTCAATCAGATTTTACTTGAAAAATAAAAGATATCTAACTTGACATATTGAGCACAAAAATGTCAACCCAGGAGGTCAACATTTTATAATACATCAGCATTTTAGGCACATACAATGAAGATTTTTAAGGAAGAAAGCTTATTTACCTACATTAACTCAGACAATATACAAAAGCACACAGGAAAGCTTATAACAGCCCAATACTTAATGGCTATAGCAGAAAATGAACCAAAACCAAGACATACTTTATTTCACCTCACAAAATACAAAGAAACAACCAAAGTATTTTGAAAAATCTGTTGGAAATCATTCCTTCTGAAGCCCCAGGAAGAACAGTAGCTGTAAATTCAGACAAAAAGCCACCAACTTCCCCTCACATCAAGTCTTCCAATACATGGGAATGTACACCAGCACGGACCATCAAATGGAAGCTTCATACAGTGTAACAACCTTCACTGTTAGCTTAGGGCTGTGAAGATCTTGGTCAGCAAGAAGTAAAGACCTGAGAAATAAGATAAGTAGAAACCAGGCTTGATACTTAACACCTTTACCTGCTTTCATGTTAAATTGAAAACACTTCTAGAGGCTCCACAGAAGTAGTCTTTAACACATCATTTATTATGAAGAACTTTCTCTTCTTTTCCAAAGCTCTCTTGCTAGTAAAAATCTGTACCCCGCTTTTAAATAAATCTTATTGTAAAAGAAGTTCAAGTTATAATTACATTCTGCATCAGACCTTCAATAGGTGAACTTCAATTTAGACACTGATCCTCTAGTGGGCAGACAGTAATTAAATAATTTCTCACCTTGACTACTCCATCAAAGCCAGGGATCGTGTTGACCTTTGCATTCTTGGCTAACAATTTGCTTTCAATCTTGTCTCCCATAGCTTGAATAGCGTGTGTGTCAGGTCCGATGAAGGTGACACCTTCTGATGCCTGCAAAGACAATGAAGAGATCACTTCAGGAGATCAAACTAAATATCAGCTTTACACAAGTTTTGTTATTACTTTTTTTTTGTCCTTTGAACTAACTAATGAAATAAGGTTTAGAAGACAGTGATCTGTTTATGTAACAACCTCACAATATATAAGCAGCAATTCAGCCAGTTCATTAAAAATGTGTATGACCTTAGGAAACTATGTATACACAGATTCAAAGCTCCTATATAATTAGCATTTATAGAAATCAAAGCCAGGCCAAAGGAAAATAGCTGAAAGGGGAAGTACTCCAGCTTGAAAGTTAGGAATATCCCTTGAGAAACCAGAGGCTAGTTAACTCGCCAGTGATACAGCCACAAGTGATTCACAAAGATACGCTTGCTAAACTGTAATGCATTTCATTATGCATTCCTAAAACCAAACCTCAATGAAATAAAAATGCAAGTGCAGTCTCTTACTCTACATATTTAAAGATCTTGAAAATAAAGTGATAAATGAAATGTTTCCCCTGTTCTTTCAAGCAGCTCTCTTTTTCAGTACTAATGTGGAACTAGGTTAACATAAAATACTTGTAACACTTCAACTTCAATACTTTAATACTTAGGTAGAATACTTAATTGCCTATTTCTCCCTCCTGTTTCTTGATGCCAGCAATAGACTTCAGTGATCAAGTATAGAGACTTTTTTTCAATCCTCTCGAGGGTCAGTACTATACAGAGCTAAAGGCATTTTTATCAAAACTGTTTCACCAAAAGTCACTGATGCATCAGTGCATACATTCAAGTTTCAGGCAACTTAACATCTTTTGTACCATAAGAAAAAAACATTCAAAAGAATAAGCATTGCACTTCTTTTCCCCAACTGTTTCATTGATTTATTTTTTCCCCAGTTCTAAGATACTTATAAAATGCTTAAAAACAACTTGTTTCCAGCTGATGGGCAGTTTACTTAATACCAACACTAATGCAATGGCAAACATCCTATTTCTTATATCAGAATTTGTGTCTTAATATTTTCTCTTTCTTGTGCTGCACACATTAGGGTTGCCAGATAGCTATAGATACTGAGAATAAAAAGTAATTTACTGAACCTTTGTGTATTTATGTGATGGTAGTACATGACCACAGAACAGACACAGGAAAAATATGGGGTTTTTCAAGTTGGAAACACTGTAATAGGAAGCAGGAAGGGAAAGGAAGACTCACAGAAGGGTGCAGATCAATTTAATATTATAATAACAAAGGAGGATGTGAACACTAAAGGAATTCACTTTTTAAGTAAGAAGGGAAACAAGAAACAAAAAGTTGATATTTTAAATCATAGCGACACGAAGTTTGAATCTGACCATTTAAGAAACAGCAGAATATAACCTGAAAACCAATACTTCATTCTTTCTTAACAAGAGTTTGAAATAGGTGCCTGAATACACCTGGAGGTAGGGCAGAGCTCCCTTCTGCCATCAGATGTAGGCCAGTCTTGAAAAGCTCTGCGGAAAAGGTTCACTCGCGTACTTGGCAACTGCAGATGATGCTGTCCTTCTTGTATCGCTTCTAACCTGGAAATACTCCATTTCTACAGTTTCTGCCATAACATTGGCACATACATCCTGGTCAATGCCGCTTCCAACTTCACCAAACACTGCTTCCTCTTCCTACTCTCTTCTCAAAAAGTCTACCATCAAAAACATGGCATCTCCAGAGGTCATCAAGACAGTAGGTCCACAGCTTTTGCTTTCTGGTGAAAGGCAGATAGGGGACATCTTGCTTGACTTCAATTGCCTCTTCTCACTGCCTTGTGGTGTGGCCTTGCAAAGTGCCCAGCTCATTCCCTGCTCCTGTCCAAGCAGGTTGTTGGATAGGAGGACAACAGTACCTTTCAGGAGAGATTTATGAACTGCCTGAGAAGGAACACTCCAGCCCATTTCACAAAATTAATCTGCTTAATCCAGTATATTTGTCATGTGAATCTTGTAGAGCTATAATATTCCTATTCTATGTGGATACAACCAATACTTATTAAAATTAAGTACTAGCTGTGCAACCTATACCTTTGGTTTTGGTTTTTGAAAATTTTTTTCCGATGTTTACACAAAACTGCTCTTCAACTGTGAACAAGCAGCAGCTCAGTACCACTATCTAGTCCCCTATGTGGTTAGTTAACTGGCATAGTCATCCTATCCAGTTATTTCCCAGCAACAAAATCTGAGACAAAAAATAGTTCAACTCAATGTGGTATCACAGGATACCTGAAGCCACAGAACTCTGGCATGCTGCAACACCCTTAAGTCAAAAATAAGTTAACAAACCAAGGAGGATATGACTTGCAATTGAATTTAGCTAAGCTCACAAAAAAAGACTTTGTCAGCTTAAGGCACTACTGGAAAAACTCTTGCAAGCCTTGTTAGAATAACTGAAGACTCCATCACTCGAAGATGCTTGCTCAAGCCCTCTGGCAAAGGTTGTCAGCTTCTTACAAGAAAAGTGCCTCAGCTTCTTCATTGCCAATTAAGCACACATACATGTGTGTACAGCTGTACATATACAAGCTTACATGCTGCATATCATAGAAATTCTTCCAGAAGTCCTGTTACTCCTCCACAGGTTTGGCAACATCCTCCAGCCTTGAAGACACAGGAAATGTGTCCAGTTTCACCATTAACATACACCAGCATTTTCTTTAAAAATACATCTGTGATACCTGTGTATCACTGCTCTACTTTGCATAGTCAAAGGTACAGACAAACAATAAGGAATATTTTATAAGAGAATCACAGAATCTCAGGAGTTGGAAGGGACCTTGAAAGCTCATCCAGTCCAACCCCCCTGCCAGAGCAGGATCACCTAAACTAGGTCACACAAGAACACATCCAGGTTGGCCTTGAATGTCTCCAGAGAAGGAGACTCCACAACCTCCCAGGGCAGCCTGGTCCAGTGCTCTGTCACTCTCACAGTAAAAACGTTTTTCCTCACGTTCACGTGGAACCTCCGATGTTCCAGCTTGCACCTATTGCCCCTTGTC